GGGGGCGGGCAGCTGGGGGGCGGCCGGCGTCCTGGGCGGCCAATCAGAGTCCGACCGATCGGTGACGTCAGCCAATAACGAGGGAGCGGGGGTAGAAGGGTGGCGCCTGGCACACCTAGGGGCTCGAACCCGGAGGGCACGCCCGGGGAGGAAAAGTGAGTCGAAAACAAGGACTTTAGTTCGGTTTAGTTTTATTCAATATCGTGTGCCTCTCGCACAATACATTCTTATCACAGACTTGTATTTAAGTACACGTTCCAAGGAACATTTTAAAGAATTGCATAGTTGCACACCGGGTACACGCTTTACCGCACAGCGGGAACGCGTGCGTTCTACGGCAGATTTTCGTCACCAGGATTAAAACTGCCTCGGAGCACCAATTGATGGCGTGTCGTCGTAGGTATTGTATTAATACTAAATTTGGATATCTTATTTTGAGCATACACCGTTTAAACATTAGTATTATAAGTTCACATCTGTGAGGAACAGCATTCCACTTAATTGCATCTAGGGTTACACAGCTCTCTTTGGTGCAAGTTGTAGCTTACATATAGGATCTTATCTTGTGCGTGCGTCATAACATAAAAATAAAAATTGAAGCATGAGTTTGCTGTCAGAAGCACAAGCAGATTAGAAAACTAGAGCTATATTTAAAAATTAATGGTCATGAACGTGCGAATAATTTTGGGTGAAGACGATCATTAAGTAGATTTCTGTGGGGGAGGCTTCTGATGACCTCCTCCAGAAGCGGAGGGGAGGCTGCCCATCACAAAACAGAAACAAGCTTTAACTATAAATATATGACTAAGCGGCACCAGCTAGCACTATAAACATGACTAGACTAGACTGATAGAACACCGTTCCTACCCGTAGGCTACGAATATTACACAGCATAACTGAAATTACAGTATCACACCTAACAATAACGTTTTGTACTTAGTTAGGAACGAGCGTAATTTGGGCGAAACATAAGAACCCTTCGTCAGCAATCAAAATAGTGGAATTGTACAAAGCTACGAATACGCAGTTTCGCTTGTACGCCCACCGTGCCCGGAACGCCGGCAGCTTGTCATAAAACAACAAAAGTCCCCGAGATAATGCGCTATCTTTCTTACTTGCCGCCACCCCATTGCTCTTTGTCTGTCTTTGTCTAGCGGCACACAACCCCTGAAAACCACAGGGTGACCTTCATTTTTCGACCATCTTTTCGAAGCCCGCGTTGTCGTAGGCGTGGATGTCGGGGTGGCTCTCCCGGTGGCCCTCCACCGTCGCGATGCTGCAGTCGCTGCCGATGGACTGCACCTTCTTCGGGGCGGGACCTGCGCGGTAGGGAGAAAGGGTTAGTGACAGGTCCGCGTGAAGACCCGTAGGTAGGTCCACTGGGCTGGCTCCAAAGGTCCCGTAGGTCCTCCAACGGCCCGCATGTAGGGGCGAGGAGGGCGGCGTGGGTGGGAGAGCTGAACGGCGCGCAGACTCACCTCTGGGGATCAGCACGCGGTCCAGGACCAGGAACGGCATCTCATACGCCACGGACAGCAGCGCCGAGATGAAGAAGGAGATGGTGAGAGTGCCGATGGCTTCCTGGACCTGCGAAACGCATGCCTTTAGGTCTCGTTCTATCTCAAGGTAGTCGCGGGAGAGGCGAAACTCACCGTAAGAAAGGTGCTGAAGTACCCCGGAGAGCGGCGCAGGCCGTGGCTCACCATGAGCACGGCGTAGTGCGTCAGGTACACGCAGTAGGAGAGGCGCGCCAGCGGAGCAAACGGCCTCCAGGACAGCAGCGAGTTGACGACGCCCCCGTGGCCCGTGACGCACGCGAACACCACCCAGGCCACGCCGACGGCCCAGGCCGTGCGGTGCAGGCCGGCGTACAGGCCGGCCTCCAGGGCCGAGTACTGGTGCCAGCGCTGGTAGAAGCCGAACACGCCGAACAGCACGGCGAGGCAAGTGGCCGTCGAGGCGGCCCAGCCCAGCGCCACGAGCGCCGGGGACATGTGAACGCGGCGGCCTCGCACCTCTGTCAGGACGCAGCCCAGGGCGATGCCCACTAGGTACGGCCCCGCGCGGTTGTACACGCGCGTGTACACGTCCACGAACACCTGGCCCAGCATGGATTGGCTGCAACGCAAAGCGAGTCCAGTCGGACCGTCAGACAGAGGTCGTCAGGCACGGCGCTGGGGTGCGCTGGCACGGGTACTTACTCGAGGGTGTACAGCATGGCGCCCGCCAGATTGCCGACGAAGGTGATGGTGAAGGGGACGCACACGGCCGCGATCACCAGGACGAACAACAGGGCTCGCCCGAAGCGTGGCCAGCGCATCAGCGGCACAAGCACCAGAGGCGAGAGCCAGAACAGCTGCATGTCCACGGCCAGGTACCACGTCTGGTTCATGCACTGCGCAGGGGTGAAGAGGCAATGAGTTCAGCGCCCCTCCCCTACCCACAGCCGTCAGCACTGCTCCGCACTTACCGGCGCCGCCAGCTGCACGAAGTTGTTGACGTACGCCAAGTTGGTCCACCAGTTGAGGACGCAGTTGTCCGTCTCGGGGCCCACGAGGCGGTCCCACAGCGGCCCGCTACCTAGTCGCACCAGCAGGCTGGCGTAGAACCAGAGCACGACGGCGTACACGGGCGTGATGCGGACGTAGCGGTGCCAGTAGAAGGAGAGCGGGTTGAAAGAGAGTCGGCCGGAGGACCCCGCCGTGCGCAGGAAGCTGACGGCGAGCAGCGCACCGGACAGCAACAGGAAGGTGTCCGTCGAGAGGGTGGCGTTCAGCAAGACCATGTTGCCAACGGAATCGCCAAGCTGTAGGGGAGCGGGGCGCATCATCAACTGTTCTTCTTCAATTATTTTCATATGCAGTGAATATAAGCCCATACTCTAAAGTAGTTGCCTCAACCCCCACCCCTTGACAATGCACAACCCCTATCCTTCGCTAAAAACTCTTTTGCCATTTTTGCGAAACGGCTGTGAATAACTAGTGTCCTAATTGCAATTAACTCTGCGAGTCAAGTCGCGAGAACGCCGCGCCACGCCTCCCGCTCAACTTGCCAATCAATTGGAGGCGAGGCGACGCGGCCGGTCGGCGGCCCGAGCCGAGCTGTCACGGTGTCTTTCGGCGCCGTTGTTTCGACTCTATTTTGCCACGCTCCGCTCCAACCCGAGGGCGCGTCCCGGATGCGTCACCTCAGCAGGGCCGCCTTCAATTAAAATATTTTTCGTATGCATCTTCGTTGTGATCTGCGAATTGCCGTTGGCCGGACGGCGGAATCTCTTATTTTCTACTACTCTATCTCCACCTAGCCGGTGGCTGAGAGGCCAACTCCTAAAGGGGAACACCCGAAGGCCGAAACCACCCCGGCGCCTGGGGAAGTCCAATGCCAGAGTTCGCGTCCCTGAACAAGGCCGCCACGTTGGCCACACTGTACTTTTTTTTCGCCCGCGCCTCCCGTAGTCCCAGAGCCGTTGCCTGCGTTGAGGTGGGTCAGGGGAGGGGTGGCTCACCTTGGCCACGACGGCCCGGTTGACGTTGGGCGAGGTCGCCTCCATGTAGAACGAGTGCAGCAGCACGACCCAGGAGATGCTGAGCACGCGCAGGCCGTGCATGCAGCTCATGGTGTCGCCCGAGCGCGCCGTGGACAGCAGCGTGGAGCCGTTGCGCCGCAGCGAGAAGGACACGAGCAGCTGCTGCACGCGGGACAGCGGCGCGGGGCCTGCGGGCAGGAGCCTGTGAGTGTACCGGAGCACCTCGGCGCCCGCCGCCCAGGCAACCCATCCGGCACAGGTACTCACGGTCCGTGGCGCTGGCGCCGGGCGCCGGGGTGCACAGGACGTCGTAGATGGTGCTGGCCGCCATGACGTACATGGTGACGAGGAGCAGGCAGCTGAGGGCGGGCAGAGAGGGGGCGACATTGAGATACGCGAACACTTGACTGGGGGCGAGGGTCGGAGCTGTCGAGGCTGCCACCGCACTTACATGAAGGCGATGTCCTGCGGCTGTAGGGGCTTGTTCTGGCGGCCACCGTCCGCAGCCAGGCAGCGGTCGTCGGCCACGGAGACGAAGGGCTCGGCTGTGGCGGTGCCGTTCGGGGCGAGTCCGGCCAGCCGCTCGGCCAGCGCCAGCTGCACGTCGCGGCCCGAACACGTCGATGGCACGCACAGCGCCCAGTCCAGCTCGGCGCTCCTCTCACCGGGGGGCTCGCCCTGGGGGTGCACGGGGGGAGGAGCACTGGTTATCGGCGAGGTGCATGACAGAGGTGCAGCCGGGTGCAGCCCGATGCCGAACTCGTCGTACTTACCGACGCGTTAGCGGCGGCCAGCAACAGGTCCCCGAGGGCAGACTTCCCCCATCCGGAGGCCGACGGCATCCTGAAGGACACGGTCGCCGTGCAGTGCTTCCCCCGGAACACGTCTGTGAGCAGGGTCGCGATTAACGACACGTGACGTCACTGTGCGAGGGGCGCACAGCCACCAAACCTGCCTGACACTGCTGACACGCACCTGAACCGGTGTCTGCGTCCGCGACCCGCACGCCCACGCACTGATCAAAGTTGCCGAGGTGCTGAATGTTGCCGGCCATGATGGAGGATGGCACTTTGGTGGAGGCATCGTACACTGTGGGCCAGAGTTATCAAGTGTAAAGGAACAATCGAGCACGTGCAATTCATGACAGGCTGCTGCAGGAGAAGTGGCGGGCTGGACGCTGGTCATCCGTCGGGCTGAACTGTATTGAACACGACGTGCCCATCGCGTTATTCGGGCCGCTTCCGCCCCAACCCCTTGACCTACAATGATGTGGAAGGATTGAAGTTCAGGGACGCCATCCTTCCCAGCCCGTCGTGTGGTCCCTCTATAAGTGGGCGCCTAACCTATCCCGTTAAGGGACGGGGGCGTGTCGGCCGGTTCCTGTAGGGCTCGACTACAACAACTACTTCACAGTGAAATTGGGCCGGGCGGGCGACCTAAATACGATACGACGGGGGGCTTGACGACACGGGGACCTAGATACGGTTGTGGGGCCCTCTCCAAACAGGTCATGGTCAGTCGAATTTCAACCTTGCTGCCCACAAGCGCGCGCTCGCACACCGAGTCGCACACACACTCAAAGGACAAACTCTCACACTTCACACAAGCGGTATTCTCCCTGAAACGCGGCGCAACAGCTTCCACCAGGCCCTCGGCCTTGGGTGCGGACAGGACGGCGCTGAGGGTGGACTCAGGTGGAAAACCACGAAGGTTGAGTAGGTGCGCGTCGTTGGGGAAACGCTAAGGGAAGCTGTAGCCTGGCAGCAGCCCCCTCTGCGCAGCTGACCTCGCTGTGTGTGTAAAAGAGGGGGTGGGGACACACACATACACGCAGGGTGATCCAATTGCTCATTGCCCTGTTCTAGACGATGGAACGGTTCGATCGGCAGAGTTGTGTGGACGGGTGTCTCTACCGTCTGTCTGAGACGAAGACCAGCCCATTATTTTCAACCACTGAGCGTGTTGCTGCAATGGTCGAGCGACTGACGATTGTGGACGAATCGCGCACGCGCAGGGCAGGGCGTTGCTTAGAGAGTCCCGGCGACCTTCTCCCCTGCCGCTGGCCCCTCCCCAGCGCCCCCCCCCTCTGGCCCCTGCACGTGGATGCACTTGGCCCTGGGGCGGTCAGCTGGGCCGGGCCACACCCCCGCCACTGCCCCCACTGCAAGAGCAGTCATCGTATAAATCACTTTGCCTGCCGCTGCAGAGGCGCTGCCGCGCAACACAATTGGTCCGTCCCTGAAGGCCCCCGGCCGCTCCAGCCCCGTGCTAAAAGCCCGAGCGATGCACCCGTGCGGCTGCACACGTTGTCGACGCGGGCGCTGCGTAGGCCAACCCGCCCGACTCGCCACCGCACCCGGCTGCCTGCGCCCAGGCGCCCCCAGCCGCCTCGGGGGCCGCGGCCGCTGGGCGGCAGGTGCTGCGCGGCAGGTGCTGCGCGGCAGGTGCTGCGGCAGGTCCTGCCGCAGATCCTGCTTCTGCCACGCCACATGTTTGTCACAGATGGTGTTGGGGCAGGCATGCCGGCGCGGGCATGCGGCGGGGGAGAACAGGTTGTCGGCGCCGATCCCCAACACCAGTCCATTCAATCGCAGCCCGACAGCGCCGGCGCGGGGGCCGGCGGCCGCCAGCGGCCCGCGCGCGTACAACGTGTGGTTTTGTCGCACATCATTCCAGAGCGGCGGCGTCGGCCCCGCGGCTTCCGGTTTGGGCACAACCTGCGACGCGTAATCGGCCCCCGAACAGAGAGGTGAACATACTCTGGCTGGCGGGGCAGCCGGGCAGCTCAGCGTTCAGCCCCAGCCTCAGCAGCGCCGCAAGGAGTCAACGTCCTGACCAACTCGGCCCGTCAGGCCTGTGACAGGACAGGCGGGTGTGGTGGGGTGGGGCGTGGCGGGGCGGTCAAGCGGCGGGTGAGGTAGAGTCGAGTGGGGCACTACAAATGAGAGTGAGCGGGTTATAACGAAGGGCGGCGCCGGGAGTCTCACCGGCAGCGAGAGCGCGGAGGCGGCTAAAGGTGCCCCGCCGCACGCCACCTGCGATAACGCCGTCGCCTTTGGACACGGGCGTTCCGGCAGGAGAGGGCGTCATTCGCCAGCTGCACCCGAGATAGCCGCAGTGGGTCACCGGACCCGCGCCGGAGCAGGCGGAGCAGCCTCCCAGCCAGCACGTTCACCCGTGGCACGCGCGACAGCCAGCGGCCACATCTCCCCCCCTTTCCGCTGTTTTGAAACACATGCGACGTCCGCAGCTCAGCTCACCACGCACTAGTTGTCGGAGCTAATCGATGTGCAGCGATTGTTGCGACTCGCTGACTTCCCTGTTCCCTCCCCCCGCCCGCCTCCCCGCCGCCCTCGTCGCAGCTCCGCTTGCGTTGGGAGTGATACGATGATCTTGTAACCTGGAGCTGGGCGATAGCTGTTAGAACACGCCCTCCCCCTTCTCTCTCTCTCTCTCTCTCTCTCTCTCTCTCTCTCTCTCTCTCTCTCTCTCTCTCTTTCTCTCTCCCCCCCGTCTCCGTCGCCTCACCCTGCCCCGTCAGGCCAACGACCCGGCCCGGTCCGTCAGTTAGTGGATCGGTCCAAGACGGCGCGCCCCGCCCCGCCCGGCCCGGCCCGGCCCCGCGCCGCCCTGCCGCTTGTCCCCCAGAGAGGTAATGAGCCTGCAGTAAGCCCCTCACTCATACTCGCCGGCCCGGCGCCCCTCCTCAGCCCGTGTATGCTCGAGTGTACTCGCGAGGGCCTCTGTCTCTCGCTATCACCCGCCCTCCCCATTGAGCGCGGGAGGCGCCGGCGGCCTCGGCGCCAGCAGCCCGGGTGAATGGAGCCCCCGCCGTGACGTTGCAGCACACTGCATGCAGCGCGCAGTGCAGCCCGCCCGCCCATCGCCCATCCCGCCTTGTCCCGGGCTACGCAACGGTCACACGACAACGCTTTGCAGCGGGGAGCGCGACGAGGCAGGAGGACAAGGGCTCCCAAATTATTCCCTCTTCCGTTTCCCCTTCCGGCGGGTCGAACGCCCCGCCTGATCGAACGGTAAATGGACCGGGCGGAGAGACAGAACGGGGAGCGGCGGTGTGCAGCACCACACCGGCGGCCGCAGCGCGCCACCCGATAAGAGCCGAGCGATGCCAGGCGCAGCTGAATCGAGCCGGGCCCGGCGGGGGGGAGACCCGCGCACATTTGCAATTCCCCGCTTTTCCCAAGATTGACGATTGTCGTGCTGTATCCTATCGCATCGCTCTATCACACCTCTACTCTGCGGTAATCGGGTCAGTAAGTCAGCTGGCTGCGCCACGCGGCGCGGGAGAGGGGCGCGGCGGCGGGGAGGCGCGGAGAGGTGGGCGAGGCGTTGTTGCTCGGTTCAACGACCGACCTTCCGAGGCCAGGCTGGCAGCCGCAGCGCCGGCTGACGGACGGACGGACCGGGCGGGCGGCGCGCCACAGTGCCCTGGGGAGGCGCGCGCGACACAGTGGAGTGCTACCTCAGCTACCGCAGCTGCCGCAGCTGCCACCACGCCTCGGTACCGTGTGCAGCAGGACACCCCAGATGATCGCGTGCAACCAGCCCCTAACGGCGTGCGCACTGCGCAGCCCGCGACGCATGCCGCGCCCGGCTGTGTGAGGGTAGGCTACCCGTCAAACGCGCGTGTGACGGTGTTGCGTAGGCTCTCCAGATGGTCCACCCATTTCAACTCTTTCTCTTTAAAGATCTTTCTCTCACTAATAAAACCAAAATGATT